TGTGTGTGTGTGGTGTGTGTGTGTGTGTGTGCGTTGGGTGTGTGTGTGTGTGTGTCCACTGAGTGTGTGTGTCCACTGAGTGTGTGTGTGTGCCACTGAGTGTGTGTGTGTGCCACTGAGTGTGTGTGTGTGCCACTGAGTGTGTGTGTGTGCCACTGAGTGTGTGTGTGTGTCCACTGAGTGTGTGTGTGTGTCCACTGAGTGTGTGTGTGTCCACTGAATGTGTGTGTGTGTGTGTGTGTCCACTGAGTGTGTCCACTGAGTGAGTGTGTGTGTGTGTCCACTGAGTGTGTGTCCACTGAATGTGTGTGTGTGAGTGTGTGTGTGTGTCCACTGAGTGTGTGTGTCCACTGAGTGTGTGTGTCCACTGAGTGTGTGTGTGTGTGTGTCCACTGAATGTGTGTGTGTGAGTGTGTGTGTGTCCACTGAGTGTGATGGTCATGTTCTGTCTGTCCTGCAGACGCCGATCGATCAGTTCATTTCCACACTGAAGAGCCGGGTGAAGGATGTCATGGGCCAGTAAGTCAAACTCATTCATGAGGGTTTATTTAGAGTGGATTAGACATGCTCCTTTTAAAAGATGTTTCCCTGAACAATAATACTGTTAACTGACAAGTTTAGAATGTTAAATTAGAATTAGACTGGAAGGGTGTTTGTGAGCCGTTAATAAAACCAACACATGTTTTTATTAAGAAGGGGTTTATTTTTACATGCAACATCTGCATGAGGCTTGACACGGTCAGGTTGTCACACACATGATGTGAACCAAGAATAAAAGAAATCGACCAGCACAGAATATATTTCACTCAAATAATGAACAGATTAACAAAATGAAAATGTGTTTCTTCCAGCACCCAGTATGATGTAGAGCCGTCATAGAAAGTTTATAATAACTTGTGTTCAGACTTACCTCAGTCCTCAGCATAGCTCGTCTTCTGACTGTGATTTTAAAGAATCATCATGTGGGCATGCTGTGGGTTAGTCTGATGAGCAGCCTCTCAACGCCGAGTCCCTCAAGTTCCTTTGACGTTTACTTCTATAGTGCTTTTCACAATACATTTCATTTCAAAGCAGCTTTACAGGAGATGCATGTTTCTACATTACAGTGATGATGATCTGTTATCAGAGCTGACGGAGACAAAGTAACATCCACATGATAACATGTGTGTGTCTCAGGATTCAGGCCAAGGTTCCTGCAGCGAAGAAGAAGTCTGAGTGAGTCTGGAGCGGCTCTGATCTCCACTCCTCATCTTCTGCTCTAACTCTGTGTCTGTCTCTGTCTGTTTTCTTCACTCTTCGGTTCGTTCATATGACCACATCTTCATGAAGTTGCTCCAACACTGATTGTGAAACACTGGTTGCAGAATAAATGAAATATCTTGTTTAATGTGAGGCTTTCAGAAAATGAAATGCACTGCAAGTCTGCTTTCTTTTTAATGAGGGAAGTTGAAGGGTGCCAGTTTTGGCTTTTCGTGGTGTTTTAGTTCATATGACTGTGATTTTACTGGATTGATCTTAGCAATGTTTCTAGACGAGAGTAGATATCAAGACATCTGAGCTCACCTGCAGGATAATCTCTGGATGAACATGTTTACACGAAGCTTCCTCAACAGAAGTTATTGTATTTAAATCTATTTATCTCTGGACCGATTCCTAAAGCGAGCAGCGTTTGCCATGCCAGTAACTGTGAATGAAACACGTCCCGCTGTCTGAGCTCTGTGAATGCATTCTGAGATGTTAATGAGAATGAATAAAGCTTCTAGCTCGATCAGTGACCTGCTTGAGATTATTGGAGCTTGTCTGAAATGCAGGAAATTCAAGCACATGATCTGCTGTTCAGCATTATTGCAGTCATGCGTTCACCAGTGTTATTATACTGACACTCACATACTGTTATAGTTGTGTAGTAGTTGTGTTGGATGTTTTTGTCATTTTTATTTGTTTTTGTTTTTAAAATGACCATATAGTTTTTAGCAAGTTTTAGTTTATTTTAGTGCTACAACTTAAATGAAAATGTAAAAGGTTGCTTTGACGACTAGGTGAAATAAAATATTTTTAAAAATATCTTAATCTTATTTAATTTCAGTTAATGTATATTTTAAGTAATTCATTTTTTGGAATGTTAAGTCGGACCTCTTGCCCTGTCCATATGGAGTTCCTCACAGGGAAGATGGTCATTTATTTTAGTTCTGCACTACTATTAGACTATTACACTCTACTCAGCTCAGGTGACCACTGTCCTCTCTGGGTTTATATTAGGGATGCCACGATTCTCAATATAATATTGCACTGTTCGGTATGACATCTACGGTTCAATACACGCTTGTGAGTTAACCTGAAGCCTCACACTTCACCAGAAAACAGCTCACTTTCACATTGAAAAATAGGATGGATAACGTGCATTTGAGAAAGCAACACACATCAAAACATCTTCCGCTGTAATGCGTTGCAATGAGAAGCGTTTCTAAACCTGCTGTCCAACAAAAGAACATCATAAACTGTTTTTACTCCGGTCTACAACATTAGTCTTCCTTTTGTGATCTAATGCTGCTTCTTATCACAGAATTAGGCAGAAAATATATTCTATACTGTAGAAAAGGCTGTCAATTAGCATTGGATTATAAATATACATAATTATTATGAAAATACCTAATGTAGCGACTGGACCACTCAAACACACGGGGGAAGTCATGGCCTAATGGTTAGAGAGTCGGACTTGTAACCCAAAGGTTGCGGGTTCAAGTCTCATACCGGCAGGGATTGTAGGTGGGAGGAGTGAATGTACAGTGCTCTCTTCCACCTTCAATACCACGACTGAGGTGCCCTTGAGCAAGGCACTGAACCCCCAACTGCTTCCCGGGCGCCGCAGCATAAATGGCTGCCCACTGCTCCGGGTGTGTGTTCACTGCTGTGTGTGTGCACTTTGGATGGGTTAAAAAAATTCCTAGTATGGGAAACCATACTTGGCCACATGTCACGTCACTTTGTCGTCACACACAATATATATTTTGTTAGCTAGTATTTCACAAATACTCTGTAACACCCCAGGAAGCCGAACAGGCCCCTTAATATTGGCTTTTACATGGATTATTTAACGTCTGATTGTTTAATTCATATTTTGAGCGAGTTTGGGTTTTGGGATGACGATTGAGAACAAATACACGTGAATATGGACAGACTTCTACTATGGAGCCAGATCGGCCTCAAAAATAACACATGTAAATGTGTTATTTTTGAGGCTGATCTGGCTCCATATCTACCAGCAGCTAACAGACATGGAGATGACTGTGGAGATGACCGTGGACTTCAGGAGAAACCCCCCTGCACTC